CCTTGCGCCTTCAAGTACGGTGCCGGCTTTAGATAATGTCGTCTGAACGATTGTGTCGACAATGAAATCCAATGATGGCTGGAAAAGAAACAAAAAGCTTGAGGCAAAGAAGCGAATGACTTTGCCGTCGGTTGTTGGTGAGAGTAAGGTAAAGGAAATGCCACACCACAAAACGTTTGAACACTACTGACTGAGAAATAGAAGGGCGGGAACGGAGGAGAGGGTAGGACTCTGTTTATACCAACCTGAGGGCATAACAACGGGCCCATGACCCCCCATGCAAAGGAGAGTCCATGTAAGTCCATGTAACTGTTCATGGTGGAGAATCTGGCCCAGACAAAGGCCGTGGGCCAGCCAGACCAGCATCCCCTAGTGACTGCATCCACGCCCTGTGTCGTCGGGAACGGGGAGAACGACCAAACATGGCAGCCAGTGAGGGCGTCTTGGGCGCTTGGACCCTTTGCTCGTCTGGCGAGGTGACTTTCGGCGAGGGGTGAGGTCAGGGTCAAAGTTCACAAAAACAGTCGACTCCACATTGAAAATGCCCGGCCGATGTTGCGTTGCTGTCTCTTGGTGGCGCGCGGCTCCAGGGGCGGCAGGCAGGGGTGCTGGTTCAGAGACAGGGGTGCGCTAGAGATCTGGCCCAGGGGGTTGGTTGAAGCTGTCCAGCGATGTGGCCCAATCGGTTACACATTTCGACGTCTGAATGGAAAATAAATGTCTTACTCTCTCACTGTTGTCCTGTAAAAGGGTCAGTTCAAGCACTGTAATTATAAATGGCTCTGCGTGAGCGGCAAGAGGCCTGTGGCAAAAGGGCGGATGAGATGAGCACTTCTTTCGCCTCTCTGTCGCAGTTCATGGTGTACAACCGGGGAGTTTCTCATGTCGGTAACCCTATTTTCGTAATGAACGCCCATTCTGCCGGGCATGAGATGTCCATTTTGTGATGATGTTTGATTGTTGAGCATGAGCACGAGCCCCTTTACGTCCTGCGCCCTCACCGCACGTAGTGATTCCAGTAAAAAAGGCAGTGATGAGCATGCGGATGGAACGTTGATAGTGAGGGCAACCTAAGATGGGGACATACCCAAAAGCTTGATGAAACAGGTGGCTGTCTGCTTCAGGCTGCTCAGCCACATTCGAACGGCGACGCTACTGCAGGTACGAAGCCATTCCCGCACGATGCATTTGGGCTGCAGCTGTCGATTTCCAATTGATCCTTCTGTCAGTGTTCGACTTCTGGCAGCTCGCACTGCTTCAACGATGTTCCTGGATTTCTCCGGCATTTGCTCTGGGATCATTGGTTGCTAGGGACCGATTACCAAAACCCCACTCTGTCCACCTAAAACGGTTTTGGGCCGTTATTCCCCGCAATGACGCTTTTCCCAAAACGATGCTCAATCACGGCTCGACTTGCTTGTTCAAGAGTCGACCCTGTTCGCGATACCAGCAACCGGACATCCGGTGTGCCCCATCCCGGGAGCAACGACCGAGTTATCGGTTTAGTAGAAAGGGGGATCATCAATGAGTAATCTTCTCATCCCCGTCTGCTAAGATATCGTTCATGCTCGGAATAACTTCAAAAATACACTCATCCATTTACATGTCAGCTGAGCTGGTATTAATTCTGTGTCTGTGGGTGCAGCTCACACAATGAAGCGGTATCCATCGGGTGTCCGCAGAATCGAAGTGCCGCGTTTCACCGCAACCCGCTGTCAGTCATTTCTGGACTGGCGCCAGCAGTTACATGTTTCAGGTCAAACCAGGCCATCAGAGTCGGAGTCGATGATTTCTGACCAATCACCTCAATGCGCTTTTCTCGGACCGATGTGACTCCACTGAACAGCTTCCTTTTCCACGATGTCACTGGCATCCAGAAGCATCGTCAACTCAATTTCGCGGAAGCCAAACGACCATATGCACTGCGACACTGACGGTTAACTACGGGGCGTCCTGTGCGCTTTTCCCAGTCACGACGTCCAACGGAATAGGAAAGATGGAATCACATTGCAACAGTACCACGGGCTCATTGAGTTGCTGACTACCGATACCATTTGGCAGACACAGACGGCCAATTCTCATAGTATCCTGCAATTTCAACAACAGCCGTCACGAGTTCACCTGGCGTCATGAAGAAACGAACAAAGCTTGGCGTTAACATCGAGCACTGGTGCCGTTTTGGTCCCAAAAATAGTGCCGAGCCAGCGAGAAATCCCCGATTGACGCTCGCCAAAATCATGGTTCCTGGGACCCGGGCCACGAGGCGCTGCCGCTGGCGAATCGCCGCGTCAGATCGGGTTGATCGGTAGCCTCCGTTTTTGACAGCCGCCGTCCCAAACCGTTGAAGGCGTTTAGGAGCCGCTCACGTACCGCTCAAAACGCCGCCTTCACTGTCAACTCGACTCTCGAAACGCCCATCACAGACATTCTTCTCGCATATTTTTCAATAACTTCTTGCTATTAGTAAATGGCACGCTGATAGCTTAGAGTCCGGGCACGTTGACAGGAAACTGGTGAACGACCGAGACATCAAGACAGGGACAGGGAGCAAACCCCAGAACTCGCTTGGAGCACGCACCGCCAAGAACAGCCGTCGCCAGGGCATTCTTTCCCAGTTCAGACAGGTGATGCAACGGTGGAGAGTTCTGCCAAGCACAACCCATGCTGTTTCTCCTCAGGGGCTCCTGAGTCTTGTTTCGAGTTGATGCCATCACGTTCGTATCCCGCGCTGGAACACACATGAACCAAAGCTCTGGCCACCGCAAAATTGTGTATGTCGAGAGCTTCGCTTGCGGAAAAGCGACCATCCGGATGTGGTCCAACACCGAGTCATTTGAGATGAACAAAGGCCCGAGCCACCAACAGTTCAGAGCGTACAACTCTCTTGAGCTGAAGAAGCTCATGGCACATGAGGTCTTCATTTGTCTTGGTGAAGGCCCGGTAACTCCGGAAGTCTGATCAAACCAGGACGGCGATTCCAGCAAGATGGAGATCCTACCTCGTGGCGGCCACTTCGGCATTTCTTGTGTCATCATCCCTTGGGCTGGGAAGATCACGATCACTCCTGGTTCAACTCAGCCCGATAACACAAAGTCAAAGCTCCAAATATGAACCCGGCGGTCTGGATGAAACAAGGCAACACCACACGAACGGCGGGAACGCTACACAAAGATCCTTTGCCATCCTACTTGACAGCTAAGTAACCATGATAGGATCTTCGTCCTGATGCGCCGGCCCGCTGCCCATGTCGATCAAGTTATATGTAAACAAAAGATCAGCTCTTCCTTTTCTCCTTCACCACCGGTATACACCTCGTTACACCAGACTGATAATAGTCCCTGGCCGTGTTTGTATCACTCATCCAAAGCTCCAACTCCACCTCGACTCATAGGTCAAAGACGGACGGCACGGCGCGGCGTAGCCAAACCGACCTCTAGACTGCTCAAAAAGAGACGAATCTATCGTTCAGTCCTCCATTACCGACTGTCAAACGTCTGACGGGGGCACAGAATACGGCACGCACCGGCGGGCGGCCACTATGCGGCCCGGCATACCTATTACCGAACGCACATCACCGCCTTTCCAGGTCCCATTCCGGGTCTTCCTTCCGGCCCGGACGACCGACCTAGTACTCACTTGTACAGCGTCCAACGACAGCTGCCTGCCTGCCCTACTTGAACGCCGACCCGTTTCCGTCTGTTTGAAGTGATATTATACTCGCACTTGTACTACCTCGGCTGGTCTGCCACGACGAAAGAGCGACCACCGCCACCTTCACAGCAAAAGAACTGGCCTCATTATCAGGTAAGCCGGTCGGTTTTGAGAGCATCAGACCATGGATGTAAAGGTTGGACCAACAGTCCCACAAATTTACAGGCGTCTCAAGCTGTTCAGCCAAAGGTTCGATACCTCAAGCCCTGTCAACACAGGTACGGAATGCTTTCCGGCCACGGCTACGGACAGTATGCACCACACCCCCCACCATGTGAACCAAGACGGGCACCCAAACTCTATTCAGCGGGGAGTAGCATTGAAATCCCGCCGGCCTTGTACAGAATGTAGGCCCATATATGGAGTTCATAGACCGTGTACAAGACCTCGAAACAAGTCCCTCATTCGGTTAGATTTGACGAATGTAGTCCAGACACTGAATTGGGCTTGCCTATGACCGAGTAGTACTTTTGTTCGGCATAATCTTGCCTATGACTGAGACCGCCTATCGAGGAGCAACATCAGACAAGAAGACCTGCTTATGTTTATGCTTACCACCATGCCTACCTAGCATGCCCTTCACCCCCCCCCCTGGCGTTGCATGCTGTATATGCCCCTGGCCATCAGTGAGATCCCCTCCCCGTCAACAGTCTCTAGACTTACAGTCCTCCAGGAGAGGCTTTTGGTCTTCAGGTCAACTACAGCCCTGTTAATACGCTGAACATGGTATCGCTTCGTTCGCCTCTGGTTACGTCTGTCTGGGACGCGATACATAATCATTCGCCACCAGAGTCGCCGTCTCGAAAGCAAACGCCTCGTACATCGACATGCCTACTAGATGGGCTACCAAAATCACAATACCCGACTTGAATAAGCCAGTTACCATGTAGGTACTGCGGACTTCCGATATAGGATGGTGTCATCACCTCCCAGTGCAGGGGCGGGCGAGCAGGCGAGCTGTATCACCCCCTTTTGACACAGTCGATAGAACCAGAACCAGCCCCATGAACCTCACGCAAGCAGTCAGGTTCCCTCCTTCACGGGCTTCTTCACCGAGCAATCTACCCCGCCGGAGGACGTGTGCGGTTCCATGGGTAGCTCTTTCCATTTCAACCGCACCCATCCTCCCTTTCCGTCCTTCCGTTCTTTCCCTCTCATGGCCACCCTCCTTCCCTCTTTCCATTCTACTCAAACCCCCTCCTTCCAAAGACCCTTCCCTCCCGCCCTAGAACAAGGGTATACCACCCCAGTTCCCGCTCCTCCTTCCAACAACAAACAAGCAACAAAACTCCCATATGGTGTAGTGGTTAGCATACCAGGCTTTCAAACCTGCCTCCTGATCAAATCAGGAAGAGTGAAAGACTACCCTGGAGTCCCGGGTTCAATTCCCGGTGTGGGAAACTTCTTTTTAGTGCTTTACTTTTCCCTTCTTTTTAAATCGTGATCTATTTTATTTCTTGCCGGTTTCCTTTTTGGTACCAGGTATAGACTACCGGGAGCGACTGCCTTTCGACGAGGTTGGCCAAAGATCCTCCGAAGCTTGGTCATCTTCGCTGAATAAAGGCGGTAGTAGTTATTGTAGAAACCTATATTTGATATCCCGATGGTTGGCATCGTGTGAGGGTGCTAGTCGGAGGTGATCATTGCTTGTTGTGTGGGATTGTGCTGTTTGTTCTCTTGGACCAAACATCAGCTAGAACCATCGGTGTGCTAGGCAACGTGGGTTCTGAGTGGAACATCATCATTTTCAGCCAAAAACTTATAACCATGCTCTGGATTGACGTTTACTTCGCTCGCCTCGTACATGTATTTCTTCGAAAGGTGGATAGACATTCGTGCTTCACCTGCCCGAATTTCGAGGCAGGCAGCAGCTGACATCAACACTTCCAGATTCAATACCCGCTTTGTAGCTTGATGATACACTCACTCTACTCAGTTCATGTCAGCCAGGTAGGCAAGTCGCATAGGCAAAGCAACAAGAAAGTACCGATCACCAACGTATCAAGAGCAAATTCCAATTACAGAAATTTCATCATTTTGTCTATCATCCATGTCACAACTTGCTTCACCCTAACACCTCCCCAGTGATTTAAAAGTTCCTAGGTAACTTAATCAAGCACCCCCCTGCAACCTCCTAATCCTCTCCTCCGCCGCCCTCGCCCTTCTCTCCCGATCCAACTTCATCCTCTGCTCAGCCGTCAACCCCCTCGTCTCCTCCTCCCTCTGGTTCAGCGGCGCCGCCCCTCCCAACACTCCCCCTTTCCTCGGTTTACTCTCCTTCACCACCGGCCCCTCCTTCTTCAGCCTCTCCTCCTCCTGTTTCCTCCTTTGCTCCTCCTCCTTCTTCTCCTTTTCCGCTCGCCTATCAGCATCCTCTTTCTTCAAAGCAGCTGGTACATGCGCTGCCTCCCAATCCCATTTTTGCTCTCCTGCCTCAGACCTCGCAACACGGAAAGCATCACGCGTAGCACGGTCACCGGCGAGGTCAAACGGTGTTTTCCCTTCCGAGTTGAGAATCGTTGGGTCGGCACCAGCGCGGGTGATGAGGCCAACAATTACCGCTGCTGAGTTTTGCGACGCGGCGAAATGCAAGGGTGTAGGGGCGTGGTGGTTTTGTTGGGTGTCTTCGGGTTGAAAGAGAAAGTTGGCGTCGAGGTTGTTGCTGGTGAAATATGACAGCAAAGCAGGGAGTTTTGACCGGCGGATGATGGATTGTATCTGGTTGGTGTGGAAGATGGCGGCTTCCTCCTCCTCTGACAACTTCGGTGCCGCTGGTTTGGTCTCTTTCGGTTTGGGAGTCTTGGATGGTTCAACAGCCGGTGTTTCCGGTTCTGGTTGAATCTCCTTAACTTTGAGCCTAGTCAGCTCGATAAACGACCGCATGAGCTCGTTCTGGGTTGCTCTTCGCGTGTTGAAGGGGAAGCCTCGGATGCGAGGGTCATTGGCGCGGAGGATTTGGCCTTCGTACGGACCGAAAAGGGTTTTGCGGTTTGTCATGCCTGTTGCCCGGATGAAAAGGAGGTCGGAGGTGTCGATTAGGTTCTTCCAGTCTTTAAGGAGATTTCGAACGTCTTCGACAAGGGCTTGCTCGTTGTAGCGACGGAGAGAGGAACCAGCTGAATGTGCTGTCCCCTTTGCGTTATCGTTTGCTGATTGAGAACCACCCTGCTTGCGACGAGTGGTGTACCGATGGAACGTCTTGTGAGCCAGGACAACAGCTTCCCTGTTCAAGGGGCCTGTAGTGCCATGCTTGCTCTTCTTCGGTGCCAGCGAGACAACCATGGCGGCGAAGTGGCCACCTCCAATCATGCACATGAAGATATGTTGACCATTGTAGGTCGCCGGCACAGACTGTGCGTCTTTTGGGGGCTTGGGCATGGAGATGGGAGCGAGCTGCCTCTTCTTGATAGCTTCGACGATAGCATCCTCCTTTTCCAGCTCCTCTGGAGTGAACAGAGCCCTGTAGATCCCGTAGTATGTCCTTTCTGGCAGCCTAGGGGATTCAAACCACAGCAATGGTGCTTTGCCCGTGCCTCTCTTTTGTTTTGTGTCCTCCTCGTCGCCCGCATCGTTCGGCTTGCGCTTGTCCGCCAAAGTAGCCTGCTTCTTCAGCAAAGCAGTGAGCGTAGTTTCCTTGCGCCCAGTCTCCTCCTCTTCCTCCTCGCTATCCTCGCTTTCGGAACCCGAGATGCTTTCGTCAAGCTCGTCGACAAGCTTCTCGAACTCGGCTTCGGAGACTGGGTTGAGGCCGTGGAGCTTCTGTTTGAGGTTGTAGTGGTGCAAGTCGGTTTTGAGGTGTTCTCTCTGGTCCTGCACAGTGACAAAAGACAAACTGCAGAGAGAGCAGGCTTGTGACCCTAGGACATTGTCGGGCGTCGCAGGACTTGGTGTTTGGACTAGAGTTGTTGTGTCGTCTTCAGCGGACAGCCCCCCACTCGCATCCGCATCCGTTTTGAGAGATAGAGTGGCAACGACATCTGGGGGCAGATCGTAGAGGTATAGTGGCCGCCGTAGCAGCTCGTCTTGCGGTTTGGCCATCGCGCTCTTGATCCTGAAGTGTTTGCGACCGACGATGATGTGGCGAGGGACGTGGGGGGTTTCGTGGAAGAGGATTTGGGTCGCAACTTGGTCAAAAATTGGAAGCGGTGTTGTAGATGTCAGGCTGAGGGAGACCTATAAATTATTCTCCCGTGTGAAGCAGTAGTAGGATTTTCAACACGAGGTCTAAACTATCACTTTCAAAGCTTCATGAATGGTGGTGGCGTGGGGCAATTCCTTATCGTCAAGTGGTACGCCGATAAGAGTCATACCGAACAATACGTCACTCAAAGAACCCTAACCCTTGTCCAGTTGCCAACAATAAGGAGGACATTGACCGATAGGACAAGGAAAAGAATGATTCAGAATGGGAACATATGATCCATTTCACAGCATGAATGGACAGGGACATGATTAGATGTGAAAAAAAAAAAGGTTTAAATTAATGAATGTTACTTAAGTCACCACTTAGTGCTTACTTACCTTACCTTGAGACGAGACGACTACGACTTACCTGCGGTGTACCTAGTCAAATGAGAAGCGAGAAGTTGGCTGGGGACTACGAGCAAGCTCAGCAAAACCTTGAAAAATATCATCAATGGCTTGATCAACCTCAACGCTCACCTGTCTCCAGCGCACCTCTCGCTCTGGGTCAGTCATATGTTCTGAAGAGATGCCCTTCCAGGTCCCGCACAACCGAGCAAGAGTCTCATCGTGAACCTGCGGGGTATCTCGAACAGTGACAGATTCCTTAGGCGGCGTTGGGGGCGCCGAACTTGAGCCAGAGCTCTCTGGCGGTCCAAAGCTCTCAGGCGGAGGGTACACAACCTTCTCATCCGAGGTTCGCCCCTTGCGCCTTCGTCCAGCCCACTCCAAAGTGGCATGTCGAATGAATTGAAGGCGTTCGACATACTCATCCCTAGTCTCTCCCTTAAAGCGTGGGAGCACTTTGGCAAGAGTAGAGAGATCATTGCGAGGAGAGTGAACACGCTTCCGATACTCCTCGACTGGGTTAGATGACACCCACATCAGCTCACCGTGCGGCACATACGAAGGATGTACAGCGCAGTTGACACCACGTTCAGCCTTGTAAGCCCAGTAGGTCAAGATGAAATACGGGCAGTCAGTGGCGAGGGGCTTATAGTAATCACGGCATGCCCGGCAGAAGCCGAACCTTGCAGCAGTGATAACCTCGGGGTTGGCACATCTGACCCGCGTTCTCGACGACAACGTACACGGGACAACCTCCTGATATACGTGCGTACACACCGTATAGACCTTGTTCTCGGTTTGGCACATTTTGTGTTTGTTCGATGGTGCTAACTTTGCCGTCAAGGTAAAGTCAGCCAAAATCGAGATGGGCCTGTAGGTGAGTTGCGCACGAATGTCGGAGGGAGTTGCTTGTTGTGAATTGGTGCCGATACAGTGCCATCGTGGTAGACATCCATTTAAATACATGAGCTGAAGCTGTCGACATGGAATCGTACACAGGCAATGTTGGTCGAATGTGTGGGCAGAAAACAAACAATCGCTTTGTTCTAGAGAGTATCAGTATCAGGATCGGGACTCGAAACTCGAGGAACAAAGAAATCTCAATGCTATTTTTCCAAGCCGTTGACATAATTGGATGAGAACTGCGAAGAGGTAAGATGGTAGTGGCTGTAATGTTGGTCGTTTTCGAGGGTCGCTATTCCTTGGTGCGTCATTTCGAGTCTCGTTGAATGAATATCAGATCGCGACATGCCAAAATAACACAAGAAAGTGAGATCCAACATAATTTTCATGTTTACATCTTTGAGAATGAGGAGCAACGAGCAAGGTTGACGTTGATGTTGAACGCTTACTCATCGGGCCGTTGAAAGCCGAGACGCGATGCCGCCTGGCAGCCAAAGAATAATCATGAGGTAATCGTCGGTCAGCGAGTCTCGGCAGGCAACTCTCCACCACCATCAACCATCATCAAAGACAAAGCATCCTAGAGATAGAAAAAAAATGATGAACTAAGAGCTAAGATACCTAATACACTAATATACGCTGACTTAAGCATCGTGTCACGCCTTACTCTTGCAATCCAGTGCCTGCCAGCTTCTTCCCGCCTCCATTGAGAGGTCCTCCCATCGTCTATATGAGACGCCTGTTCCTCCTCCTCTCAATCCTCATTGCATTTTTCGCTACCATCATCACACTCTACAAACCCAACATCTTTCAAACCGTCTCCATAACTACAAACATTGCGATTCTCACCTTGAAAACTTACCTCTCAAGCCTAACCACCAAGTCCAACATCACCACCACCATCTCAAACCACCAACCCCTATCATCATCTCCACCACCCTCATCTATGAACGCAGCCAAAACCACC